AAATGTCCAAGAACAGATGAATGTATTGAAATAGTGTGGCACATATGGAATACTACTCAGCCATAAAAAAACAAGACCCTGGCATTTGATAGAAAGTGAATGAATATGGAAGATTTGCGGCTAAGTGAGGCAAGCCAGGCTATGAAAGAGATACATTGTATGTATACACCTAATATATACTGACTGTCCATACTCTATGGTGGAAACTGAAAGATTAGAGGATATGTAAGCACAGAAAATGGTTACAGATACTGGAGACAGTGTGGAAAGAGGGAGGGAGATGGGGGGATAGTGAAAAGAAAGGAATAAAGAAGAAAAATAGAGAGGCAAGACATTTAAGTGATACAGAAAAGGAGGATTGTCTGTTGATGATGATATGTATGATATCTTCAACTGTACTGGTGTGAAGTGTATTCACATTGGGTAAATTCATTTTACAAGTTGTAGTGATGTACAGTTATTTAATGTATAAAATAAATTCAAATTATTTTGAAATTAATTTTGGAGAGGTTTTTGCTATAGAGTGCGTGTGTTTGCCAGAAAGACAGGCAGAGACAGAGAGACAGAAAGCGAGAAATCACCCCCACTCCCCGGGGGGGATGGCCATGCCGCAATCCCTTCTTCTCCATTCTCCATTCTCCTCTCAAGATCTTGAGTTTAAGACACCGGGTATGGGAACCAGCAGTTATGGCTATGTAATGGCTATGTAGCTGGACTCCCATGTAGTCGACTGCGGTTCACATCCCAGACCTGATGGTTTAACACTCACTCCCGGTGCGTGTGCATGCGTGCCCAAGATCTCGAGAGGAGAATGGAGGAGAAGGGATTGCAGCGTGACCATCCCGCCTGGGGGGTGATTTCTCGCTTTCTGTCTCTATGTCTCTCTCTGTCTGTCTGGCGGACGCGCCCTATAGCGAAAACCTTTCCAAAACAAAACAAAACAAAACAAAACAAAACAAAAAAAGAGAGAGACTAGTAGAGATCATTGTGATAATAATTCATGCAGGCTGATTGTATTTAGAACCCTGACTAAAAAGAGTAAAATAAATGAGTAGACAGAAAGACATTAAATGCAGTCATTTTAGACTACCCTTTTAATAATTTTAGTAGCAAAGAAAAAAGTACATGGTAGCCTAAGGTACAGAGCAACTTACATTCCCTCCGTAGTTGAGAGCTTTGATCTGTGATTCCCTAAATAGAATAGTTCAATTTGCCATTTTACTTTAAATATTCATATCTTGGTTGACCAAATACACTATAAAGGGCTTGTGAAATAGTCATTAGCCTTGATTCTAATGAGAAATTTGTATTTTTGTTGTGATAATAAGTTAGCATGTGCATACTTAACATCTGAAAAAAAAAAAAACATTTAGAGAGCAGCTTCCACTGTTCATTATCTTATATTTTGGATTATTTCCCTAGCAGAAGATACCATTTGGCAGAGGAATAATGTTTTGTAACAGAACATATATTCTCTTTTTGGAAAAATGATAATTGCTTCACCTTAACTTTCCATGGCCTGGCTCTAATTTCCTCCTATAACTTTCTATTCCTTAACAACTATAGGCTTTTCCTACTGGTCAGTTACTGGCAGCTTTCTGTGATATGGAAATTAAGGGCATTATGTGTGAGAGGATCTTCCATGTCACTAGCCAATCCTCTAGAAGGCCTGCAGTTGCTAAAACAACTCAGCTGGTACACTTCATAGCAGGCTTTGCTTCTCAGCAGCACACATCCAAATACTGTTCAGAGAGCACCTAGTCTTTGCAGGCCTAGAGCACTCTGTTCTTTGCTCTGAAACAATCACTCACTTAAGAGTCCCAAGTAGGACTATTCCTACTTACCAAAGACAACTGGACACTGTGGATGTGTTTATCAGACCAGAAATCCTTCCCTCTAGGTTGCAATTTTTTTCAATAAAGAACCAGATTATAAATATTTTAGGATTTTCAAGATATATAGCCTCTGTGGCAACTCTACCACAGTACTGCAAAAGAAGTCATAGGCAACAACTAATCATGTGACTTTTTTCCAATAAAACATTTTTTACAAAATCAGGCAGCAGGCTAGATTTGCTACACGACCTATATTTTCACAATCTCTGTTCTAGAAAAGGACTCATGAGTAAAATATGTCATTTTACCGTCTGTGAGGACTTAATTATAGGGAACCTAAATACATCATTGAAAACATGTTAGATTCTCAGTTGATGGCATGTCAGTTCTAGTATTTGGATCACAGACATTTGCAGTCCATCTCAAGAGTTTCCCGAGAGTGAAGGCCTATGGCTCAGATTCCAGGTCAATGTGAACGCACTGGACATATTCTCAATCCTGGCTGACTGGAAGATAGGAAGGAGGATTGCAGAATGGAAATACCTTGTTGGAGTTCTTTCTCTCTAAAAAAAAAAAAAAAAAAAAAAAAAAAAAAAAAAAAATAAAAAAAAAAATAATTCTCCCATACCACCTTCAACTCTATCTACCTGTGTTTTTTTCTGTCTGTTAGCATGGTTCTCTGTCCTCCTCATAGTCCACATTATTTATCAATGCTTTTTTTTAATGACATTCTTTCTATTTGATGATTTCTTATTAATATTTAATATTTGTACATTTGGAGGAGTGAAATATGGTTTTGAAAATACTTAGGCAGTGCATAATAATAAGATTCAGGTTATTACCATATCCATTAAATCCAACAAAGAATATTACATAATGTTGTACAACTTCAATTTTATATTTTTTGCTATTTTTTATTTCATTTTCTTTTATACATTCAATCACACTATTTAGCTTACAAAGTGAATATTCTAACATGTGTACATTTCTCCCGAGTTCAATTGATAATACTATAAAATTGTCTTCAACAGATAATACCACATTTATTTGTCCCATTAATGCTCTGCCTCTCTATTTTTCTTCTAAATGTCTTTCCTCAGATTCTGCTCTTTCACACACACTATATCTGGTACTCACATCCATTCACTGTGTTTCTATAACCTTTAGCCAATCAGTTTCAGTCATAGAGTGCGTACACTCTTTATTTATCTCTATATTTATCCACGCTTTCAAGCTCATCCTATTGGCTCTTAACTTTACATCTATGTTATGACTTCCAGAATTTGCCTTTAGCTCCAAATACTGTGAACTCAGAAAAAATGTATTTTGTTTCAGATCCTCAAATAGTAACCAAAGAAAGAAGTCTATACTCATACATGATATATTTTCTTGGCCAGTCACCAAATATTTCTTCTCCTATTTATCTTCTCAGGTACTCCAGGGTGAAGCTACTACACCAGCCCTAGAGTGAGTTCAACACTGATCTGAAGCCCCCACTCTATTTAACTCTTTGCATCTCAATACAGTAGAGGAGAAAGCAAAAGACTAAATCAGATCATCTACATTCTAGTACTGGCTTGCTTTGTCCTTGGGAAAGTTGCTACCATTCCTGAAAATGCAGGTTACCTGTGAACAGTGTTTTCCCAGTTGTGCTTCAAAGAACATTTAGACCGGGAACCAGCAGTTAGCGTAATGGCTATGTCGTTGGACTCCCACGTAGTCGACCACGGCTCACGTCCCGGACCCGGTGGCTTAAAACTCACGCGAGGCGCGTGTGCGTGCGTGCCCAAGATCCCGAGAGGAGAATGGAGGAGAAGGGATTGCGGCGTGACCATCCCCCCTGGGGGTGATTTCTCGCTTTCTGTCTCTATGTCTCTCTCTGTCTGTCTGGCGAGCGCACGCGCCCTACAGTGAAAATCTCTCCAAAAAAAAAAAAAAAAGAACATTTAGACCTACTGAAACAATTTCATGCCACATGATAAATACTTAAATTGTCTGAGGAACATTTTTTCAGCTGTTTCTCATATTAAAGTTATAGTAACTATTATAAAAAAAAGTTTTCTATAGGTTTAACAAATTTTTGAAAACCACTTGTTTTACAAATGAGGAAACAGTTTTAATGAAGTAAGGTGATTTACTGAAGATCATATAGCTGGTCAGTGCAGAATCAAGCTTAGAATACGTCTTCGCATTCTCAGTATCTATGAGTTTCTCTTTTAAATTGCACTGCTGTGAGGACCAGCAGATGGTGTAATGGCTACATAGCTGGACTCCCATGTAGTCGACCGTAGTTCAAGTCCCAGACCCTGTGGCTTAAACTCAGGCCAGGTGTGTGTGTCTGTGCGTGTGTGCCCAAGATCCCAAGAGGAGAATCGAAGAGAAGGGATTGTGACATGGTCATCCTCACCCCCATCCTCCAGGGGATGATTTCTTGCTTTCTGTCTCTCTGTTTCTTCTCTGTCTTTTCTGGCAAGCACATGTGCCCTATAGCAAAAAAAAAAAACCTCTCCCCCCCATAAAAAAGTAAAAAAGAAAAAATAAATAAATAAACTGCACTGTTTTGTTCTGCTTCATCTTAGTACAATATTCATATTAGTCAATCTCAAGATATATTGTGACCCTTTCAGAGAAGCATACTTGTCATTAGATATAAGACCCCATTTGACCATTGTTACTCTGATTATTACCAAATTAAAATTTTGATTTGATTTTACTAGTATATTGAAACATTTTTCTCTATAATAAGCTTGTATCTAACAATATCACTAAGTTTATTAATTTTAATGTTTATCTTTAGAGTCTTTTGGACTTCCTACATACACAATTATGTTACCCACAAATATTTTCCAAATTTTTCTCAATAAATATTCTATAACCAGAAAAGATAAGGATCTATACATATTTAATTAAATGAGGACATGTCTAAGGGGAGTGGCAATTCGAAACAATTATTACAAAATGTTTTAAAAATAGTCAGATATTTCTTTTCTCTGTGGTAGAAAGTTATTACAATAGCCCTTGAATGGGAAAAAAATCAATGAAAATTCAAGATCCTATGTAAGATCTCATGCTTAGAGTTATGATCTCATGTTTAGAGTTTCAGGGTTACTGTTGACTAATCATTTGCAAAGTCCAAATTTCCACAGAAGATTTATTTGGATAACAGTCCAGGTGTTGCTAGGTCTCTGGGATAAGACAACACTACCTTGTGCTAGCCAGCAACAGGGAAAAGAGGCTTACTTAGAGTATCACATAAACGCTTCACATTGTGCATTCCTCCTGCTTCCATAGTTATTTGCTTATTAGGTCCTTGGACACCACAAACTCTGTTAAAGGTGAGTGACATATGATTTCATTTATAGCTTTAATGTTTCAAAACTGTAGATCATATGTGCAACTAACATATACTTCCGTGCATGAAAATACGTAACTCAAGACTCTAGCCATTTCTTAGCCTTTCTTTCACAGTAAGAAATAACCACTTTGCTTAAATTCCAAAAGATTGAAAATTTTATGGTTTTTAAGCAATGTTTTTTCAGAGGACACTTGAAATTACGTTTCTCTATGAGATAAACTACAGTTAAAAGTAAAATAAACATACTCCTTAGCAGAAGTCGGTCATATGTCTGAACTCCTCAGCTAACCTTTGCAGTGGTAAATATTTCTTGAGCCTCTGGGAACTTGTATAAAGGAAAATAAAATTGGAAATAAGAGGTTCAAGGAGATTGAAAAGAAGAATGTATCATTGCTGATAAACCAGACTATCCTCTCATATGTCAGGTAAGAAGTTCTGAGCTGCCTTGCAGACAAATCGTTTGTGTGAGTAAAGTACCTTGTAAGGTGACAGGCTAAAATAAGATGGACTTCACTTTTAACTAGAATTCTCTAAATGTTCACAAGGCCATCTTCAATGATTCAGTGGGATTGATTTTTAGGGTGTTCAAGAGGGGATGGCAATTATGAGAAAACTGCAGATTGCTGCTCTTCTACCATGACACTGACGTGGAAGATTTTTTTTCCAACTATCTTCCTCTATTCAGTTGACATTTTTTGATCTGCATCTGTATGAAAATTGTATGGTAATGGGTACATGCCTGCATGTCATTCTATATGCCACTGGAATGTCTAGAGATATTAAAAATTAATAAATAAGAAACCATATGATCATATATGCTGTATCATTACAATAAAAAGGGAAATAGTTATCTTTATCTGAATAAAGATTATTTCTTAACATAAATTCTTCTAATAATAAAATGTTATGAAAGGAGAAGCTACTGATCAGCTCTTTTATTAGCACTTCATCAGATTAGTTTCAACATTACCATCTTAACTTATATCATTTTCTAAACTGCCTCAGAACAGTTATAGTCAAAGAAGAAGTAAGAATATTTATAACAAATCCGTTTTCACAGGTATTGGTGATAACTGGAATAAAATTGAACTATATTTTTCAAGCTTTTCAAATTTAAAATAGTGTCTGCTGAGAGCTGGGAACCAGTAAAGCGTTGCAATTTGACTTGTCCCAATCATTTACATGATGATTCTACAAGATGCTTTAAAAATTTGTTTCAGACTATCAAAGGCAGGCATTGTAGGTCCCTGTTCAATATATAGCGAGTGTCTGCACTCTCTAGCAGAAACTGAAAGACTGGAAGCTATAATAGCAGGGAGGGCAACAATGGATAGCAGAGAGAGTATGGCGTGGGGGAGGATGATAGAGGATGTCTAACGGGATGAGAGGGAGGAGATCAGGAGAAAAACAAACACCACATTTAAGAGACACAAAAATGAAAAGTAATCTGCCGATGATAATGTCTATGGTAATGTCTATCACTTGTCTAATATGCACTGTGTTCATGCTGAGTAAAACCATGTCATATACTATAAAGATGTAGAGTGATTAAATGTAAATTTTTAAAAACTGAGAAAATAATACAAGAAAATTTAAAAAGTAGACATTATCTTAAATGTTTTTATCAGAATAAAAGTTCATTAAAACTTTTTAAACTGTTTATAATAAGATAATGAATATGTACAAGTAATTATAAATTTTCTTATGTAAAATAAGAAAAGAAATATATTTTAAGTTGCACAATTAACATTATAACAAGATTTTTTTTCCTGCAAAAACTACTCAATTTGGGACCAGCATATGGCATAATGATCACGTCACTGGACTCCTATGTAGTCGACCATGGTTCGAGTCCTGGGCCTGGTGACTTAAAATGCTGAGCATTTGTGCATACATGCCTAAGATCCCAAGGGGAGAATGGAGGAGAAGGGACTGTGGCATGACCAACATCTCTGGGGGGAGGGGGGTGATTTCTTGCTTTCTGTCTCTCTGGTGAACACACACACCCTATAGTAAAAAAATCTCTCTAAAAAAGGAAAAAAGAAAAAAAAAACTACTCAATTTCTTAGCAAAATGAAAAAAACACATCTGGAAAAGATAAAATTAAATATGTAGTAAACATTTTGAAACAAATTGCTATTCAAAAAAAGAAAGGAATTTGTTTCCTCTACAATTGTGTAATATAGTCTAGAAAAATCCATCCTTTTTAATGTCTAATAAGAAAAACACAACCAAATAAACATCAACAATAAATACCTATTTAGCTTTCCTTGTTGAAAACTTCTCTGTATAAGATTTTAATTGGGGCATCAGGGGCTAGAGATGAGGGAGAGTCTCTATAATCTGTCTACTTAATTGAGAGAAAGATGTATAACTGTTTAGGAGCCTTAGCTCCCAAGACCTCTGAAATCAGTAAAAGAAACACCTAATCTAGGTTGGATGTTAAGTACTCATACTACTCCATTTGATCACAACCTAAATTATAATGGCCACTTGTAGCAATGCTCTGATTCTGGTTGCCAAGAAAGACCAGCAAACATGAGTTACTAAAATCAGCAGGCCAAGTGGAACGATTTTTAAAGGAGCCTCTCATTTTTATGATTAAAAATAGCCTAGGTCTGCAGAAGCTTATTTGTGAGTTACATAAAAAAGTTTGGACAAAAGTATGTATGGTGTCTTCAATTTCTTTCTGTCTTCCCCAGTCAGTGATAACGGTTTCTAATATCTTTGTACCAAGAAGCACACAATACTCAAATGTGTATTGATACCCTTTTAAATTAAAAGATATATTCAGCCATATGTCAATGCATTCAGCTGCTTTTATTCCAGTGTTTTTCTTTGAGCTTGTAGAAAAGTTCAAAAGCTAACTCACCAACAAGTAATGTTCTCATTGGAACACAGTGGGGAAACAATTCTTACATGTGATCTCAAGCTCCTAGCTTGCTGTAATATTTATAAAATGGTGTAGCTCATTTTACTTTACTAATGTATCTTTTCATCGCAACTGAGAAACATAAACTAACTCCATTAAATATAATAGAAACTTACCCTCTGAGACATTTGAGAGAGCCAAAGTTCAGTAGGGAAATTTAGCAACATTTATAAGAAATTTTAAATTTGATATCAGGGCTGACTCCATGGTGCAGTGGTGATGCACTACTTAAGGAAAGCTGGATCCCCCATGGAAACCAAGGTTCAAATCTCTGGTCCAGTCAGTCTAAAACACAATGGGCACATCCACAAGTGCCCAGGGTCCAACAGCTGGAAGATTGGAGGAAGGGTGTCACACTTTGACCAGAAACTGTGGGCAGTGTTTTTCTCTCTCTCTCTCTCTCTCATATATTCATTTATGAGTATACACTCTATCATGAATAAATAAAAATATAATTAAATACAAGTATAATTTTAAAATATAATTAAATAAAAATACACATAATTTGGCTAAACCATTCTGGAAAGACAGAAATTGAAGACACTATACATACTTTTTGTCCAAATACATATAATTTCACTAGAAATACATCAACTGGTCCCATGAATAAGCTACAAAAGTATGCTAAGTTATAATCATGAAGATATTTTAGTGAGTGTACTAAATGTATTAGAATAATGGCAAAATTCAATGTAACACATTCATATGGTAAAAAATGACATAGCCATTGAAAAGAGTGAAGTAGATATGCATCTATTAATATGGAGTAATCTCTGAAGCATGACATGAATTGAAAAAAATGAAGTGCAGAGTAGGATACATAAAATGTTCTCTTTTTGTGTACATTTTTAAAGAATATGCATAGACATATATGTATTAGTTGATATAAGAAAGAACTTCCTTTCACTGAACACTTATGAAAAAGAAAAAATTGTCATACATGTGGAAAGAGCTTCTGCAAAGAAGTAGATGAGAGTTTAAGTCTTATCATTTTTCTTTCTAACCTAAAACTTCTAATATAGGCATCTATTATTTATATTTTTAAATGTCAGTAGAAGTTTTCCAGCTGGTTATATTATAGAACATCCTAGTTATTCTTCATACTTTTTATATTTTAGAACACAAGAAAAGTTCTTAAATAAATTAGAGGTAGACTAAATAAGTAAATTTGTTTTTTAAAATGAAAGCATTTAACCTGGAGGTTGGAAAGATTCATTCCAGTCCTCCCTTCTATAATTCTCTATGTAGAGACAGTTAGACAGTGAATTCTTTCCATTGCGAGTTTCTTGGATGCCAGAAATTAAAGTAGAGCTTTTGGAAGACTGGTCCAGACTCCTTCCTCAATCCCAGAAAAGCATAAAAAACCAAAATGTAGTTGAGAAGACTGAACACACAAAATGAGCAGTTGTTTTAATAAGATGATATAAATCTCAAATGCTTTGGGGGATGACATTAATTACAAATATATACTACATATGAGAAAACTTCAAAAAACTCATGGAAAATGGAGATATGAGTTTTAAATGAGTTTATTTTGGTGCAAAAAATTTTAAATTCATGCATAGTTTAGTCATAATACAAATTTTTGATGAACTCTTTAAAGACATCCTCATATTTTGTTTTGTAGCTTATCACTAACAGCTCAGAAACACTTAATAGTACTCTTGGAACTATGGTAATCTTTATTTTAAAACATAGGATTTGTGCTTATGAGTATCTGAATTTTTTTTAGAGGTTTTTGCCTTAGGGCACATGCTCTCACTGGAGATAGAGAAGGACAGAGATAGTAAGAGGGGAAGTAAGAAATCAGCCCCCCACCCCCAGGGAGTGACCAAGCCACATTCTCTTCATCCCTTCTTCTCTACTCTCCTTCTGAGATCTTGAGCATACACACATAGGCACCCGGAGTGAGTTTCAAGCCACCTGAGTCCGAAACTCAAACTGTGATCAGGCATGTGGGAGTCTAGTGATGTAACTGCTACTCATCTGCTGGTCCAGAGTATCTGAATTTATAGATGATGACTTGCCTGAGGAAAGCAGAGAAATACAGATATTTTAAAAATTTCATTTAAGTTTGTGACTCAAAATGACTTGTAAAGTTTTGCCCCAACAAGCATATGATATATATCATCCCATTCAGGGCCTAGAGACTCAAGAGGCACATGGCTGGACACTCCACATTGTATTTCATCCTGATGTGTGCTCTGATTGACAAGGGCCAAGCCTGCTTCTGTGATCGGTATCCATGGTCACAGTGGTCCAGCTGCTCAAAAACATGTGATTCTGGAACCCAGAGCAGAGAGAGGTGGGTGTGAACTGCATAGCATTTCTTGAGAATGGAGTTAACAATTCAATTCCCATTAAACAAAGGGGAAAATGTATTTCAAAATAAAACTCATGGATGCAAATAGAATGTAAGGCCTTTTGTATTAATTCTATTCCCATTATCTCTGTAAAAATCAAGGGGTTTCAAAGAAATTGGATGAGAATCTGTATAATATTTTCAATTGACTAACTTATTTAGAATCATTACTCAAGTTTTTATATAATTTTTTTTAATCAGTATTTAACTTTGGTTGTCTACACTTAGAAAGTTCAATGTAGAGAATTTTTTGCCCATTAAACCAAGTCTAACAGAACCTCAACTGAGTAGCATCGCTAGCTATCAACTTGATTGCCATATACTAGAGGCAAGAAAACTGTGTTTACTTGTTAACACGTAATACATCAATATTTTTACCAATTCAGATTATTTGCTCCCCCCATTCCCCACAGTTCCTTTAAATCTGTTAGATGATGTATCTGTACCATGTAGATGTTCTTCACATGACTTGGAAGAGAAAGACATATATTGAATGTGTTTTAACTATTGCAGAACTTTTTAGAGATTCATTTCAGAAAACTATTTTCATATATGTAGTGTGAATCTCGTTATAATCACCATTTGATTTCCCCAATAAACAATGTACTAAGTATGTGAAAACAGATTTGTTTATAAATATTATTCCACTAGTCAAGAGTGCTTCAGTGCTCTCTACTACCTACCAAATAAAGTTCAGTATACCCCATCCTTTCCCATCTGGTCAGTCACCCAAGCTCCTTCCTGGATATGTCCCACTCTCTTCCACTTCTAATTTTTGTACATGTCATTCCCTCTGAACACCCCTCTTTTGTTACCTGGAGAATTCACATAAATTTTTCAAGGCATTTCTGTCATGTCTCTTTGTCTTTGGATCTTTGGCTTCACACAGCACCCTGACCCTATCTCAGTCACAATGCTTATTATCTTGTGTCTTAATCTTTTAAGCTATTTGAAGAAACATTCTTTCCTTTCTTCTTTCTTTTCTTTCCCTTCCAGCCCTTTCTGGAAAATTCATGCAGTTGCCAGCACCCCTCCCCCACACATAGAAAGGCCTCGTGCCTGGCTTATTGGTCTGCCATCATTGTATTGAAATTCTTATTTTTGTACAACAGATCTCCATTTTAATTTTTCATTGAGTCTTACAAATTTTGTAGCCAGACCTGAGTTTCATTAAGTGATAAGAACTGCGTAGATATCAAGCTGCCTGATTTTCTATGAGAGCATTCTTTCCCCTTTTTCACTGTAGTTAATGCTCAATGATATTCATTCTAAACAGCTTTTTCCTCACCATTACAGACACCTAATACTAAACCAGTACTTTTGGGATAACAAGTGTTCTCAGCTTTGCTTGAGGTATGAGACCAAAGAATGTAACTGGCAAAAATGTCCTATCAACTGCATGCTGGGAGGTTATGGACCATGGTCAGACTGTGACCCTTGTGTTGAAAAACAGGTACGTGATGAGTGGTCATATCCAGGAAATTTAAATCACAATAAAGTACTCCAATTTCCTGACAGACTGAGAAATGCTGAATTTCTTCAGGTTCCAAGAATAAACTGTCTCAGCTTCCACTGGGGGGAAATTTTCATTTAGCAATTTTGAGGGGGATAAGAAGAAGAGTTAATTTCACATTTTTTGCTATCATATGAGCACTAAAACGAAATTATGCCCCAGTATTTGTATCATACTTTACTCAGCTCTGAATTCTACTACCTGAGCCACCTGAAAATTCTGAAAACAAAAGCAGTGCTAAAAAATATAAATTTCAGTCCACATTTTAAAACCAAACAAAAACAAAACAAAACAAGAACAAAAGAAATGAATTAAAAGCCTGACTCCTTGCCCTTCCTCTAAATTCTCTCTTCCCATGAGAAAGTCCTTCAACTTGTTTATTGTTCCCAGCTGCAATATTTACTCACCTCCTGCTCATTCCTGTAAAGGCATGTGAAGTCCGTATTGAACACTTACACTTTAGGGAAGAAAAGGAAACTAATTTGTGAAGCGCCTACTATCTGAGGGCAACTGTTCTAGCCCCTTACATGTATCAGTCACCTTATTAAAACTTCACATTGTGTTTTTCTACCCATTTTACAGATTAAGAAATTATAGCCCATTCGGGGTTATGTAGTCTGTACAAGAATGTACTAGTAATTATGTAGCTACATTTTGAATTTGGACTTTTCTGACTTCAAAGTCATTCCTATTGAGTTCTGTCATATTTCTGTCCCTCCTTCAAGTCAGTTTTACCACTCACCATTTAAAATGAAGTGTGGAGAATATTCATGTTAACCTTGGTTTCTATGGTGACTTCATTAAGCAGAAGAATACAAAATCCTATCACATTTATCACTTCACACTATCTTTGAGATTATAGAAGGGCTATTGCTATTGCCTAGAAGAATTTACTGCACTCAAGAGACTCTCAGTAAACATTTGTGAATTTGATTTTTATTTAATTTAGAACCATATGATTTTGGAGTCAGAAGCCTTGGGAGTCTTTTTGCTTTACTTCCTCATTTTACAGTTTGGGAAACTGAGATCCAGAGAAGTGGTGGTTTCCCTAAGACCATATGGTAATGGAATTATTTTTCCCTTCTTCTTTACATTTAATTGTCATACATGTCCATAGCACACAATATAGGTTTTCAAAAACATGTATTACATAACCATTAAGTCAAGGATATTATCATATAAATATTTTCCATTGGAAAACTTTACATTTTTATATTTGTCAAGTACTTCCTCCCTAAACCCCTCACACTTTCCTGCTATCCATCCTTCTTCCCTATAGTATCTGGTATCCATACTTGTCTTCCCAACTATTATACCTATATTGAGCAGAGATATACAGTGTTTTTCTTTTACAGGCTGGTCTACATTGCTTAGCATTAAATCTATATTTATCCACTTTATATCAAATAACAAGGTCGCATTATTTCTTGTGGTCAAGTAATATTCCATAGGTGTACATGCAAATTGCTAATAAATTTTAAGAAATACCACCATACAAAAAATCAACATGATGATTGAGAAACCCAGTTTTCTTAAACACATTTTGATAATGAGTTACTCACCTCTCTCTTTCCTTTTAGACTAAGGTTAGATCTGTCTTGCGCCCTAGTCAGTTTGGGGGACAACCATGTACTGAGCCCCTGGTGACCTCTCAACGATGCATTCCGTCTAAGCTCTGCAAAATTGAAGAGGTTGACTGCAAGAATAAATTCCGCTGTGATAGTGGTAATGTACTTTTGTAAAATGTTCGGTCTCCATTGAAAATGACTTGAATATAGCAAAGCAATTCCACTTGGCTGGCAGTGGAAGACACAATAAACATGTTCCACCACATTTTAAACATGGGGAGATGAGAGTGTTAATGCCACCAATTGCAAAGTTATTTATGAATGAAATTCCAGCTTCCAAGTTATAATCATCTTGACCACTCACAGGATTCAGTTGATCACTAAGTAGCCCTGAAGTCCCTACATTATTATAAAGCAGATGGAAGAGAGGAGGAGGAAAAGAATAGGAAGATTTTTAACTGACTATTAATAAACATAAATTTATAATCACAATGATAATCATAAAAAAATAGCAGACTAAAAAAGGTTTTTTAATATACTTTATAAGACAAGAATTCTAAGATATTATGGCAGGGGAATGACTTGAGATGACATGGCAAATTTTCAAGACTGGCTCCAAAAGTAATTCCAAAGGACAAGATTGAAAATTATTTAGATGATGACAACATTATCTTCAAGTTCAGTACTCATTCAGTTGCATAAAATGTGCTACTTAAGTTTCATTAGGTTATAATCAAATCTTCAACATATTACTTGATAATATTTATTCTCTGAATTAACTCCTCTTAATGCTATTTGTTCTGAATGGCTCAGATCAAATTTCTGCAAACTTTCCAGTAAAGGTCTAGCTGACAAATATTTTAGCTTTTGTAGCCATATAGTTCATCTTGCAACTACTCAGCTCTGATGCTATAGCAGTGAAGTTGCCCTCAACAGTAAATAAACAAATGAGCATTGCTGTGTTCCAATAAAATATTATTTACAAAAACAGGCAGTAGGTCAGTTTTGGTCCACAGGCCATAGTTCACTGACCTCCTATCTAAGTAGTCAATTTGAAGTTAAAATAAAATCAACTTTTTTTTTTTTTTGAGAGGTCTTCACTATAGGGTGCGTGCGCTCGACAGACAGACAGAGACAGAGACACAGAAAGTGAGAAATCACCCCCCAGGGGGGATGGTCACGCCACAATCCCTTCTCCTCCATTCTCCTCTCGGGATCTTGGGCACACACGCACACGCGCCCGGCGTGAGTTTTAAGCCACCAGGTCCGGGACGCGAACTGCGGTCGACAACGTGGGAGTCCAGCGACATAGCCATTACGCTAACTGCTGGTTCCCAATAAAATCAACTTTCATGTTAATAAAATCTATACTACTTCTTTGTACTTAAGGATATACTGAAAAGGTATTTCTAAGTAGATATATTTCAAATTCCATAGAAAATTTACCCAAGACCTTGGAACTAATGTTGCCCCTCATTTACTCCTTATTTCATGCCTTTGGCTTTGCAACCTTTTCTGGGGTGCGTGCGCTCGACAGACAGACAGAGACAGAGACACAGAAAGTGAGAAATCACCCCCCAGGGGGGATGGTCACGCCACAATCCCTTCTCCTCCATTCTCCTCTCGGGATCTTGGGCACACACGCACACGCGCCCGGCGTGAGTTTTAAGCCACCAGGTCCGGGACGCGAACTGCGGTCGACAACGTGGGAGTCCAGCGACATAGCCATTACGCTAACTGCTGGTTCCCAATAAAATCAACTTTCATGTTAATAAAATCTATACTACTTCTTTGTACTTAAGGATATACTGAAAAGGTATTTCTAAGTAGATATATTTCAAATTCCATAGAAAATTTACCCAAGACCTTGGAACTAATGTTGCCCCTCATTTACTCCTTATTTCATGCCTTTGGCTTTGCAACCTTTTCTGAATGTCAAGCAGGAAAACAGGAATGCTGGCATCAGGGTATTCCCTCTATATCTGCCTCCTCCAACCCTGGGATATGAGGATTGGACATGGATAGGGAGACATGCATCATGTCTACATGAATGAAGTCATATCACAAATTGACAAATGTTGAGAGGAATACAGACATAAGTGTTACATGCAGAACTGAAATTTAGAACTGAAGTACAACTATTTAAAGCTTTAAAGATGATTTTCACTACAAATAACCAGAGAAAATCTCCTTCATTCAATAGAATTCAGTCTTATGAAACTAATTACAGAAGAGTTTTGTTTACATTAAAAATATTTATAAGCTTCAGAAGACTTTAGATGCTGTGGGTCACCAATTCATAATGAGCAATTTCAGAAAAACAGTGTGAACACAAATGATCTCTAGTTCATCAGCAGTACATCAATAGTCATTGATAAAAAAGAAAAAAAGAACTGAGTTTTCAAATTGCCTGCAGTGGTTGGTGAGCAGTTGCTACTCTGAACTTCCTGAGCAATTCACGCCCTGCATCCCAGGCCCCTCTGCCCAGAATCCCTAGATCTTCCTACAGTCCAGCCAGTGCTTGGTATCCATTCTGATTGGGTGGAATTGTCCATGGCCATTCAGTTGTTAAACATTCCATTGAAGACTATACACTACTGCGCTCTCCTAAAAATATTCACTAATGTCATTACCAACAACAAGCCGTTGAAAGGTCATTGTTTGTCTAACTTAGAATGACATTTAGCCCTGGATAAACAAGAACTCTGTTCTAAACAGATTCACTTTCTTCCCCCTTTTACCCTTCATGATGGGTTGTTCAGTCTCCCAAGAGTCCCCAAAATGTAATATATTATTTTAATACATACATGAATATTTGACAATTACCCATAAGATTAATTCCCATGCTCTGTACTAGTTCCTCAAAGCTTTAATTTTAAGTATAGAAGACTAGAGAATTTGCATCTAATTATAAAAATAATACGCCATTGCAGTAATACAAACCAGTTCAAGTGGACAGAGGAAATGTGTATTATTTCTAGATGATTGCCTAGCCCCACATCTAAGTGCAAGCATTCAAGTGCTGGATAGAGCATGCTGACGTTTTAGACCCTGTACTATTCAGAATGCCCTTCATCTTTTCCATCGCTTCTTTGGTATAAGATACAGTTATTATAGCTTCTATCTCTTTTTTTGTGCTGCTTATTTCATTGAGTTTCTGTGACCTGGAACCATTTACAGCCAAGTCCCACCAGGTCTATAGCACTCCTGTGAGCTATTTCTCAACATCACTCAAGAGGTGTCCTCTTTCCTGCATCCCTGCCCTTGCTAATAGGCCCTCTCTGCTATCCCAGAAGTACCAGATGGATAAAATGTCTTGTATTTTTACATATCCAGTACCCTTCTTTCAAGCTAATGAGAACTGTGACCTGCATATATGGTTCTACCTCTTTCTACTAAATGTGATTTATTTTATCTTAATGTAATCATATCATAAAAGTTTTTGCCTTTTCTTTTTTTTTTTTTTTTGGATATTTGCCATAGGGTATGTTGCTTGACAGAGAGAAAGAGACAGGGAGAGGGAAAGTGAGAAATCACTCCTTCCAGAGGGGTGGGGGATGGCTAGGCTGCAATCTCTTTTTCTCCTTTCTCCTCCTGGGATTTTGGGCATGTACACACACATGCCTGACATAATTTTCAAGCCACTAGTTCCAGGACTCGAACTACATTAGCTGTGTGAGAGTCCAGTACCTTAATTACCATGTCACCTGCTCACCTCAGGTTCAAAGTTTTAAAAATGTAATTTGTATTCATGTGTTAATAAATAGTTCTTCATTTAAAACTAAATTGCCAATTGTATTCTGTCATAAAAAATTTAGAGATGTATCATTTAAACAATAGAGCATGCTTCAGGTTATATTTTGGGACTGACAGAAATTCAGTCCCATCTATATTTTCAGTCTTGTTTGATAATGGTGTTCATAGTTATAATTCTTTAAAACAGTGATCCAGACACAATGCAAATCTTAAACCATCAAAGAAGATAATTATTTTTATTACTCTCTACCTTTTTGATTGTTAATCAAAAGAGTTAAATAAAAATGCTTTCTAGAGAGTCCTCTATTAATTTAAAAATAATAATTCAACAGAATACTCAATTTCCCCAAGCATATTAGTAAGTTGAGCTAGGCATGCATAGTTAAAGTGAGAAACTGATCACAAATTAAAATAGTCAACCAGAAAACATTGAATAAAATATTTAATAATTGTCAGTAAGACCTATATATAATAGTATAGAAACCAAACTCTCTGAATATAAGAAAAAGACTGAAAATGGGACCAGCAGTTGGCATAATGGCTATGTCACTGGACTCCCATGTAATTGACTGTGGTTCAAGTCCCGGACCAGGTGGCTTAAACTCACACTGGGCGTGTGTGCATGCATGACCAAGATCTCAAGAGGAGAATGGAGGAGAAGGGATTGCAGCGTGGCCATCCCCCCTGGCGGGGGGGTGATTTCTCACTTTCCGTCTCTCTCTGTCTCTCTCTGTCTTTCTGGCGAGCACACGTGCCCTATAACAAAAACTTCTCAAAAAAAAAAAAAGAAAAAAAAGACTAAGGAAAAGAGGGGATATAGTTGTCATTAAACCTAAGATATTTCAATTTCTGTAAAATATTGTGACACACTGAATTCCAAGATCCTTATGAAATTCTGCAATTTGAAAAGGGAAGGAAATTATTTGAGTACATGCAGTTTGTATCATTTCTTAAATTCATGCATTTAGTTTGCCACCTAATAATGTAGTACCAATGCACTTAACTTACTCAAAATATGATTTTATGTAATAAATTATATGAAGTAAAACAAAGATATTCAGTGAGTGCATAGAATAAACGATAAAGTGAGTATATTTAAGAAATACATAGTTATAATGTATAGTAAAATAATTATAGTAAAATATGTAGATTCTAAGTGTGTAATTTGTTTTTTTAATTTGTTATTTAGATTTAATTGTATGTTTTTATGGTATACTTTTTTTTCAAAGCAAGCATGTGGTATGTGATAATCAAATTAATGATATTACCATCTACCTCATTTTCAACAAAGAACTTTACATTTTTGTGTTTGTTAAATATTTTACAACCATGCTGAAAAAAAAAATCAAGATATAGAAAGTTTCCATAAACCCAATAAGGTTACTCCTCTCTTCTTTTTTTTTTTTTTTTCCAGAGAGGTTTTGGCTATAGGGTTTGTATGCTCACCAGAAAGACAGAGACAGAGAGACAGAAAGTGAGAAATCACCCACTATGGGGGATGGCCATGCTGCAATCCCTTCTCCTCTGTTCTCCTCTCGGAATCTTGGGCATGCATGCACACGCACCCGGAGTGAGTTTAAGCCACTGGGTCCGGGACTTGAACCGCGGTCAACTACATGGGAGTCCAGAGACACAGCCATTATGCCAACTGCTGGTCCCACCCTTCTTCCCTTTCTAATTAATGTTCCTCCTTGTTCATGAGCATCAGTAAAGTTATCATATAGTATGACATAAATCTGGCTTCTTTTGCCAATATAAAACTCTATAAATTTTTAGAAATGAAGTCATGTCATTTAGTATATATAGCTGTGTGTGTGTGTATGTGTGTGTGCATGCGTGTGTGTGTGTATGTGCACGTGTGTGTGTGTTAAATAATAATTTTTAAAATATCTGGGACCAGCAGACGGCATAATGGTTACATTGTTGGACTCCCACTTAGTCAACTGTGGTTTGAGTCTCAGACTTGAAGGCTTAAAATTCACGCTGGGTGCATATTTTTGTGTGCCCAAGATGCCAAGAGGAGAATGAAGGAGAAGGGATTGAGGCATGGCCATACCCTCTGGAGGGAGGATGATTTCTTATCTTCTGTCTTGTTGTCTTTTTGGCAAGTGCACACACCGTATAGCAAAAATTTCTCTAAATAATAATAATAATAATAACCTGAAGACTATTATCCTGGTTCAAAAAAATTCTAGGGTCCAGCGACAGTGGCCCAACAGTAGTTTAGTGCTCTACAATGCTGAAAGCCATATGGAAGACTAGGGTTCAGTTCCAGGGTCAACTTGTACATGCTGGTACACATGCATATGATCTTACTTAGCTGGAACAGGCTGGAAGGATCATGGTGTGAGACCCTGCTGAGGGTTCTTATCTATATCTCTGTCATGAAAAAGATAAACAAACTCAAAAAATTCTGAACCTACAGTTCATTTTCCTGTATTAAACATGATCTCTGCAGCAAACTCATTATGATGGGAATGAGATTCTAGAATTAAAAACAATCAGCTCAGTGGGGACTAAATAATTCTATGTTAACTCTTGAAATTCTAAAATAAGAACAAATATCAGTTTATCATTCCATTTCACTATATTCCTAAAACTTCATTTAAAAATGGTGAAACCTTGTCCTCAACTTTGCTTTGAATTTTAAAGTATATATGTTTCATATTCATAAATCTTTCATAAACAATAATTTGTCCTGTTGTTTGTTTTTCTTATCTAGGCCGCTGTATTGCCAGCAAGTTAGAATGTAATGGAGAAAATGACTGTGGAGACGATTCAGATGAAAGGGATTGTGGAAATACAAAGGCAGTATGCCCACGGAAATACAGTCCTATCCCTAGTGTACAGTTGATGAGCGCTGGGTATGTAACATCTTTTTATCATTTGGGGGAGAAAGTTATCTCAGAACTAATAAGCAATTAGTCAATGAAGCAATGAGACACATCATTGTCCACCTTCATCCTTGAATTTGTGCTACGCTCACCAGCTCTGTCTCTAATACTTGGCTACCATGTCCAGGAAGCATGTGGCTGTGATCTTCATTCCTAGGGGTTAAAACAATTTGGGATCTTCACATATAGTATGTGCCAAGGAATGTTATGGGCCCTTCAAAACATTGCTTGTTTTAATTCACATATGTCCCTCAGACAGCTCTGGAATGGGTCAGAGCAGACTAGAAAGAAATCAGTCAAGGTGAAAAGTGCCAGGGTGAATTCCTGGGGCTAGGCTGCACAGAAATCCCAGAAAGAAATTGAGAGAAAGAGAGAGAGAGAGAGTATCAGAAAAGTTTATGTTTATGGATATGCTGGGAATCAGAACACAATAGAAACAAAACCAGTCTTCTAGAGTGAGAGGCAAGCTCAGAGTTATGGAGGGACAAAGCCAAAAAGAAAGGCATTAGGCAAACAGAAAAAGTAAGGTGATTCTTAAAACTAGTGTGAAAAAGCAAGCACATTAGAGGTGAAGTGAATATGACTGGTGCACCCTCCACCATGGATCATTTTATGCACATGTAGGTTAGTGTGGTTTAAAGGCAGAAGGTCAGGCCTGCTTTGCTGTCTCATGCTGCTCACTCTGTTTACAATCTGGGAAACTGAGCTTCCAACAGTTTAACTAATTCATCCAAGTCCACCGAGTAATAAATGGTGGAGCTAAGGCTTAAATCCAGACTTAAAAACTCATATTATTTTCTTCATTTCATGCTGAAATCCAGACAACATCCACCTTGGAAATAAGAACACACTGGGAAAAAAATTCAGAAGACCACACAACCTTATCTTTGACTTGTACTCAGAAATTCTAATGTTCAAGTCATGTGAGCACTGAGAGTTTAGCAAGGGGCTTAAGTTCATTAGACTGAACCAATGTCTTGAAATACTTTAGGACATACAAGAGAAGTCAATAAGCATAAGAATGAAGCCTTAGTTAGAAACATAAGAACAATCAGTGAAGATAATCTCCTATGACCTCTCATTTCCAAGTTAAGAATTTTCCCTTCAGTTTTTGGCTGGCGGGTAAATAGTGTGCTCTCAGTTGCTGTTGCTTCATATTGGCTTTTTCCCCCACACAGTGCAACCCATATCAGTGCCAGCAGCCCATAGGCTGGCCAAGAAATGCAATGGTTTGGAGCCAGTTTCTCTAGCAGGGGGCTCCATGAGAGTATACTGACCTTAAAAAATACAGAATTTAGTCTTTGCTTATGTTTCCAAAATTACATAAAATTCTTGAGGTAGCAAAGACAAACAACCACAATTGAAAAATATTTTGTTTTAGAATAAAAACCAGAAGGCATTGAATCAAACTTAAAGGTCCTAACAAAATGGAATAGTCATTTATCTGGAAGTAGAAACAGTTGGGTTCTAGACCAATTTTTGTATTTACTCACTGCATCAAAACCAAGTTAGTTAATATCTCTGAGTTGCAATCTCCTCATCTGTATGTTAATTTAAGGTTCTGTCCTAAAAGTTCCTAATTACAGCTGATTTTAATGAGTGTTTCAACATCATGTTCTGTCTAGAAGTGGTGTCTTTCTCTTCATTTCTCTGGAAGAAAATCTTAGCCAAAAACTCCCACAAATAATCACATTTTCTAATGTTCTGATTGATGAACGATGACATTACAAACTCACCTCTTGTTCAGTTGGTCTGGACTCTAGAGTTACAGATGGGGAGGACCACATGCTTTGTGTATTTTGGCAGAAGAACCATGTGGTTCTTTGCCAACCAGAGCTGTTGTCCCAAGGATTCTCAGAAATGAGCAAAATTTGCTGGCTTAGGGACAGCCAGTCCTTTCCTTGCCTCCCCAGGGACTGAGAGTTTTGAGAATTGCTTACTACAATCTCTTTCTAATTTGTAGCCCTAGTACCTCTGCCTCCCCTCCACTCTGACCTCCAACACATTTCTACCCACAAAAGATAACTTCTTAGGTGACAGAGCCTCTTTTTAAATGACATTTCTCCAAGAAGAAAAATCTAACAAGACATACCAAAACTCCTGCATTGCCAGTATCAGTTACCAGGTCTTGACTTCCATCAGGATTTAAGATTATAATGGGTTTTACCACGAGGTCCCACAAGATTAAAATGGAGCTGAAAAATGCCTATAGCCCAGCCATATCCACAGCACAATGCATTGCTCACACAAGTGGTGGTGCTAGGGTAAACAAACTCACTGCACTGCCATATACAAGCATGTGCAGCTTAAAGTATCTGGTAACAATGATGAGTGACTATGTGACTGGCTTATGTATGTACTGTACTCTATCTTTTATCAGCATTTTAGACAGTACTTCTTCCACTTATTAAAGGGGGGGGTTAAGACGGCATAGCAGTTAAGTCGCTGGACTCTCACATGGCCAACCATGGTTGAAGTCTGAACCTGGTGGCTTAAAAATGACTCCAGGTGCATGTGTGTGCATGCCCAAAATCCCAGGAGGAGAAGAGATTACAGTGTGGCCATCCCTGGGGAGGGGGTGGTGATTTCTCACTTTGTCTCTTCACTGTCTCTGTATCTCTCTATCTCTATCCCATCTGGTAAGCGCATACTCCCTAAGGCAAAAACCTCTTTTTAAAAAACAAAGTGCAGCTTTGCGCAGTGGCAGTATCGTAGCCAATGAGGTTTATCCGAGGCGCGATTATTGCTAATTGAAAAAACAAAGTGCAGGGGCCAGCAGTTGGTGTGGTGGTTAAAGGCACTGGATTCCCACATAGTCGATCGTGGTTCGAGTCCCAGACTTGGTGGCTTGCTTTCTCACTTTCTCTTTCTCTCTCTCTGTCTCTCTCTGGTCTAACTTAAAAAATAATAATAGCAAATGGAATTAAATAAATATATAAATCTTAAACAAACGAACAAAAAAGTGCACTGTAAAACAGTATGCCATGCTATGCTGGCAACAGCCTCATACATCTCATTTTTACCTTGTTTGTTAACTGAATCGTTTTCTCTTGTGCTTGACTTAATCTTGTGTTGTTTGTTCATCATGGACCCTAAACCTATATAATCCACTGATAATGTTGCCAGTGAGAGTCTACAGTGAGTAAGTGATCTGAAAGTGAAATTTAACATGATTAAGGACACAAAGGTGGAAAATCAGTGAAGGTTATTGCTCACTAGTCAAGCACATTTCATTCCACTATAGTTACCATCTTGGAGAACAAGAACAAAGTGACAGGATCTGTTCAATGACCTGCTTCTTTGGAAGACTAGACTAACAACATTTGAGAAGGACCTCTTTCAGATATGGAGAAATGTCTGCTATGCTGGATTAAAAACCAGACATAGATACATGTTCCTCTCAGGACTGTAATAATCAGCCAAACAAAAGGTTTGTTTGCCTTGTTGAAACAAAAGATGAACCCAACTACAATGCTGAATTTACTCTGGAGGGTTTAAACAATTCAACAATTCTTATTCAGTATATAATGTGAAAGTGACTTGTGAATCTGAGAGGATTTATTGCTAAATGAAAGGAGCTGAAGAATATTTTTTGAGAGGATTTTGCCATAGGGCACGTGCGCTCACCAGACAGACAGAGAGAGACAGAGAGACAGAAAGTGAGAAATCGCCCCTCCAGGGGGGGTGGCCACGCCGCAATCCCTTCTCCATTCTCCTCTCGGGATCTTGGGCACGCACACACACGCACCCGGTGTGAGTTTTAAGCCACCGGATCTGGGATGCGAACTGCAGTCAACTACATGGGAGTCCAGCGACATAGCCATTAAGCTAACTGTTGGTCCCAAGAATTTTTGGAAAGTCTAGATAAGCTCACTGTGGAGGAAAATTACTTACTGAACCAAACCAATATAGACAAAACTTCCTTGTTCTGGAAACAGATGCCTAAAAGAAATTTTCATCCATAAAGAGGCCAAGTAAATGCTAGATGTCCAGAATTTTTTAGGACAGCATAACCACTTTACTGGGGAAAATCTGTAGGTTATATATTAAAACCCTATGTGATCTGGAACAGTGAGAAACCAGGACCTATATTAATAAGCACATACTACCCATATACTGTAAAAGAAATCAGAAGTCATGGATGGCTCAGTCCTCTTCCAAGATGGTCTCTGAATGATGAAGGCAGTGAAATGGAGAAACACTGTTTGAAGAATAACATACTTTTCAAGATTTTTCTTATTGTTGGCAATGTTCCCTTTTAATTGGTGATCTTTATATCAATATTAAAGTGGTGTTTTTTCCTTCCAAATATCACTTGTTTGATCCAAACAACAGGTCCAGGGGTTACAACAGCTTTTAAGGCTTACTATCTGAGAAGGACTTTTGCCCTGGGTATTGGGGAAACTAAGAAAGACACTGAGAAGACATTAATACAATTCTGGGAGAATTACAACATCTGATATGGCATCAAGAACCTTGCTTTGGCTTGGGATGATGTCAGTAAGGCATGGATGAATGGCATCAGAAAGACACTCTAAAGGTTCATTCCTGACTTCAGAGAATTCACCAAGGATGAGAAAGAAGGTTGTGACTGTGGTTATGACGGAAGACTGTGGTTGAGATGGAAAACAACTCTAACTATGGAGAAGGATGGCATTGAGGAGCTCATAGAGCTGGTTCCTGAGGAATTGAATAATGAGGAGTTGTTGGAACTGGAATAGGAATTATAGCTAAAGAAGGAGCAAGAAAAAAGAAAACTACAGAAGAAAAGAGAATCTCCAAGAAAATTCACAGTGAAATGTTTAGCAAAAGTTTTTGTATACTTTGGTAAGATCCTTAAGAATTTCAAAAGGGCTGGCTCCATGGCCTATTGATTAAAGCTGGATCCCAACTGGCCAACTGCACAGTTCAAATTCTGGACCTGGTAGCTTGAGAAACACACCAGGCATGTGTCCATGCATGCCCAGAATCCTGACAAAAAGGGAGAGATGGAGAAAGGATTGTGGAATGACCATTCACCAAGAGGAGAGCCTTCTCCTCTCTTTCTCTAACTCTCTGTCTCTCTCTGGTGAAGGCATGCACTCTCTAGCAATGAAAAAAAGTTTGAAAATATGGACCGTAACACCTAGAGGTTTCCATTAATAGAGAGGAGATTTCACAGTATATTTTCTGCTTTCATTGTGTATTATTGCTTAACATATTTCTCAAAACATGCTTCAGAGGGTATGTGCTTTAAAGCAAATCTATGGTTAAAACAAACAAACAAACAAATAAACAAATCAAGCAAAATGCTATGTATGGACATATTTCCTAAAAGAGTGACACCTCTTCAAGAAAAACCTCAGGCAGGTCATTCAGGACATATCCCAGAAGGTGTTGTTATCATAAATGGTGACAGCTTTATGCCTGTTATTGGCCCCAAATACCTTCTAGTGGGACATGATGTGAAGGTAGAAGACAGTTATAGTGATGATCTTGGCCCTGTGTAGGCTTAGGCTAATATATGTTTGTGTCTCAACAAAAACAATTCTAAAAAATTTTAAGAATTACACATTTTAAAACAGAGAAAAGCTTATAAAATAAATGTATAAAGAAATATTTTTGCATAACTGTACAATGCATTTGCATTTTAAACTGTTATTACAAAAGAGTTCAAAATTTTGAAAGAAATCAAAAATTTATTTTTAAGCTAATTCATTTATTATTGAAAATACATTTTTTGTATGTTTAGTTGTAGCCTAATTTCAGTCTACAAAGCCTACAGTGGCATACAGTAATGTCTTCGGTCTTTACAGTCACACACTACTCGCTCGTTCACTCACCCAGAGCAACTTCCAGTCCTGCAAACTCCATTCATGGTCAATGCTCTAAAGGGTGTGTCCATTTTTATCCTTTCTACTATATTTCCACTATACTTTTTATGTGTTTAGATACACAAATACTATCATGTTGCAATTGCCTGCAGAATCCAGTATAATCACGTGCTGTTCAGGTTTATAGCCTAGGAGCACTCTACTCACCATACAACCTAGGTGTGAAGTAGGCTATAGATTGGTGTTCACATGACAAAATCACTAAACAATACATTTCTCAGAAGGTGTCCCCATCGGTAAACAATGTGTGACTGAATGTGTAGAACACTTAATATTTACAAAGCATTTAAATTGCTTGACCTATAGTAAATAGTATATAAACACTAGTTAAGTAACATACATTTTAAATAGTCTGATTACAGTTATTAACAAAAATAATAATATTATTAGAATTCCATTAAAGTATTTCTGTTTCTAATGTGGCTGGACCAGAGACAGGGTCAGCCTGAGGGTGCAAGTGGAACTGCTGAACTGGTCTACAGTCCCAGGAGCTGGCCAACAACGAGATTCTGGTGGCTGGCAATGTAGGTCATCATGGACACTGTGGGACTGGTGTGGGCAACCGACTGGCTGATTCTGAACTAAGTGCCTTACTGCAACGTCAAGTGTAAGAAGGATGATTAATTAAACCCTTCTCAGACCCTTTGGTGCCTAATAGTGATGCCCTCTCCCCATCTCAGCAACTGTAGGATCTGAAAGAGCCCAAACCCCCAGGATGGACTTCAACCAAATCCCTTAAGACTTCACATGTTTAGGGCCAACAGGTGGCTGACCACTGCCCAAGTCTCAGACCCAGTTGCTTGAAAATCACTCTGGACATGTGTTTGTGTGCTCAAGATTCCAGGAGGAGAATGGAGGGAAAGGGATTGCTGCTTGGCCATCTCCCCAGGGGGTGATTTTTCACTTTCCCTCTCACTGTCTCAGTCTATGTCTTTGTCTTTGGTGAGCACACAATCCCTAAGATAAAAACTTTTTTAAAAAAATAAAAAAAGACTTTACATGGTTGATGTTTTCATGTGGGTAGCATTAAACCTCCCTCTGAATAAAATGTTACTGCTACTGTTTCATTATTAGCTCTCTTGGAATTCCTTTACTATATGACGGCAAGGAGTAGACCCAGAATGGCATTTACTATGTAATAATTTATTTTGTATTCTAAAGTTTGTAAAGTTTGCACTGGTTTTGTACGTCATAAAATAATTATAAACCCAAGTATTATTTTATGTTAAAAGCCCAAAACAATCAAGTGATGGAAAGGAGAGCCAAATAGAGGCAGCGGGGCTGAGTTTTGGCTTCTTGGCATCTTTGCCTTGGCATTGACTGGAAAAAAAAATGTTTTATTCAAGTCATTTGTCATAAGTCAAAAATGTCTAAGGGAGGAATTTCTTTCATATAAGTAAGGTAAATTTTGATGATTGCTCTACATCTATTGAATTTTCAAAAATTACTTTGTTTCCAGGTATCATGCTCTGGCAGGAGAGCCCCGAGGAGAAGTCCTTGATCATTCTTTCACTGGAGGAATATGTAAAACTGTCAAAAGCAGTAGAGGAAGTAATCCATACCGTGTTCCGGCCAACCTGGAAAACGTCAACTTTGAGGTACGAGAGTTGATCATGGCAGCATCGGCATAGCCAACACTGATTCTAAGCTAAATTCCAATGAAACATTAGTGATGATTGGAGGGTGAAGTAAATAGGTAGTGAGCAATTTGAATCATCCATTATATATTTGTATTAATGTTTAATCCTTCTACCAAACCAATAAGGTCAGGGTAATTATTATCTTTTTTTTTTTGAGAGAGAGATTTTTTTGCTATAGGGCGCGTGCACTCGCCAGACAGACAGAGAGAGACATAGAGACAGAACGAGAAATCACCCCCTAGAGGGGATGGTCACGCCGCAATCCCTTCTCCTCCGTTCTTCTCTCAGGATTTTGGGCACGCACGCACACGTGCCCAGCGTGAGTTTTAAGCCACCGGGTCCGGGACGCGAACTGCGGTCAACTACGTGGGAGTCCAGCGACATAGCCATTACACTAACTGCTGGTTCCCAGGGTAATTATTATCTTACAAACAAACAAAAAAAAAACTAAGAAACTAATTTACCTACTCAAAGAGCTAGTAAGTAATGGAGTGAAGATTCAAGCCAACCCAGGTTTTCCTAATTTAAGTCTCTGTTTTCTCCAGTGAACATGCAACTCTAAGTTATCCCCACACAGATAAATGGTTTGGTTTATTCAGAATTTTCTCCTACCCTAACTAGTTCTCTTAAATAACCATCACATTTAGATATTAAAATAAAAGTGCCAAGCTTCTATGGAAAATCTAAGGATAGTAAGGTAGTTATACTTAGCTTCCTTCCTAGATTTTGTTTCCTTTTCCCCAAGTGTCAATGAATAGCGCACTACTGGCTTCCAGAATCCAGCCCAGTGCCTTACACATGATAAGTGCTCCATACTTGTTGCGCTAAAATGAGCAATGCATATCTTTTAATCTATGATAATGTAAATAGGAAGTACATGGTTTTAATGGTGGCATCCATACATGTAAATTTGACATGATGGGGAGAATTGCAGAAGGTGTAATAGTTTCTTAAAAAAAAAAAACTTAACAGGCAGCACGAGTTCATCAAAAAGTCACTCAATGATTCTTTTAAAAAGACCTGGGGGGCATCCAGTAGTGTGGCAATTAAGGCAGGTGGATACCACATGACCAACTTTGTGTTTCAAGTCTTGGACTCCATGGCTTAAGAAACACATCGGGGCCTGTGTGTGTGTGCATGCCCAAAATCTCCAGAGGAGTTGGAGGAGATAGGATCATTCATAGCCATCTCTCCTGGGGCGGGGGGGGGGGGGGATTGGCCATTCCTCACTTTCTCTCTCTTTCTCTCTCTCTCCCTCTAAGAGCCCATGCATCCAATAGCAAAACTGAAAAAAAAAAAGAAAAAACAAACTGTACATTCAGGAATTTTCCAATTTGATATGTTTGATTTAAAACATATACACACTAATACTCATGTATACTAACGGGTGTGGAGAATGTCTTTGGTGTCTTACTGCCAAACTGAAACACTTCTAGGAAGACTGATGGTAGTATCTCAAGGTATATTGTATTGAGGGGCCAGATGGTGGTGCAGTAGTACCATGGCTGGACCAGCCTGGGAAAGGTACTGGGTTCACAGCCTAGAAACTCCCTTTATACGCTGGGCTGGCCAAGACTGGGGATGGATAATGGCATAAGAACTCTGTTGGCATTGCCTATCTCTCCATCTCGCCTTCTCTATCTCTTTCTATTTCTCTCTGTCTCTTCTTTCTCATGGAAGAAATAAATAAATAAATAAATAAATAAATTTTATTTATCTTTTTAAAGAATTATTTTAACTTAAACTATTTTATTTATTTATTTTAATTTGACCAGAGATGGACAGAATGAGAGAGGGAGAGAGAGATGGAAAGTGAGAAAACAAACCACTTTCAAGTGGTTTGAGTCCAGAATTCAAACCATAGTTGGCCATGTGAGAGTCTAGCACCCTTAGCCACCATGCCTCCTGCCAGTCCCAACATTTTTTTCTTTTGAGAGGTTTTTGCTATAAGGGTGCATGCGCTCACCAGAAAAACAGAGAGAGACAGAAAGAAAGTGAGAAATCACCCCCTGAGGGGATGGCCATGCCACAATCCCCTCTCCTCCATTCTCCTCTTGGGATCTCGGGCATGCACGCACACGCACCCGGTGTGAGTTTAAGCCACTGGGTCTGGGTCTTGAACCACATTCAACTACATGGGAGTCCAGCGACATAGTCATTACACTAACTGCTGGTCCCAATAAATCTTATTAAAAAAAAGATACATTGAATAGGTTTTTGTAGACAGAGCTAAAATCTAAACATTAATATATAGTAGTATTCTGTTGGAGCACCTAAATAACCAACCCACAAACTTACTTACAAAATAAAATAATTTCAAAAAAAAAACATATTGACTATATGCTTCACAAACATCTGTTTCATGCAATTTTATAAGTAACAAGTTAAACACATTACATGAGATTATAGGAAATTTGGGTTTAATAAACACTTAGCACTTAAATGATACTTTAGAGTTTTCAAAGCTCTTCCATATACTGTTGTAATTCTCACAATAAGCTTTACAAAAAGGTAGAAAATTGTTTAAATCTACCTTACTAATAGGATACTTAGGTTTGTTGAAGTTAAATGATGTTCTCAGAGTCATGCAGAAAGTAAATGGCATGGGAGAAATAGGATTCCTGGTTCTGAGCTTCTGTAATCCAGGATTGTTTGGATTGAGGCAATGCTGGATGAGACTTTGACAGTAATATCAAAACAGATATTAAAAACTTATTATGAAAAACATTTACTTTAGATTTAAAAACAAATGCTTTAGTAGGATACACAGGGCCTGGCCCAATTTTCCCAGTCTAATTTAATTTTTGTTCACTGCTCACCAATGAACTCGCCCTTCTACTCGTCAATTAATAGATACAGTTGGATTTCTGCAAGTTTCTGCCTAGATCCCCTTTCTCGCAATGCTAACATCTATTTTTTTAAGATTGTTTCTTGGGACCAGCAATCAGCATAATGGCTATGTCGCTGGCCTCCCATGTAGTTGACCGCGGTTTGCATCCCGGACCCGGTGGCTTAAAACTCACGCGGGGCACGTGTGCGTACGTGCCCAAGACCCCGAGAGGAGAATGGAGGAGAAGGGATTGCGGCATGGCCATGCCCCCCTGGGGGGTGATTTCTCGCTTTCTGTCTCTGTGTCTCTCTCTGTCTTTCTGGTGAGCGCACGCACCCTATAGCAAAAACCTCTACAAAAACAAAACAAAACAAAAAAAAAAAACGATTGTTTCTTATGTGAAAGCTAATTCATAAAATGAAATATTTGTAGTCTTGACTTTTTAAAATAAATAATAAAGAAATATAACAAACTATATTTAAATATGATTTCCTGAGTATTGCTTTGTTATTAACTGAAGAACTTCAATTGTGGACATTTTAAGAGCTAACACGCACAGCGATATAGGAAAGTAACACTGAACTTTTGACTGTATTTTACTCTTGAACAATAATCTTTTGCAGCTGGGTTATTTTGTCTTTCCATGGCTAATTATACAAGCTATTTAGTGGTGACATGTGGTTTGTCTCACAGTGTATTTGGAGTATTTTTTTTAAAGATGAAACATTTTTATTGCAAACCACACAAACATCTTTAACACAAAGTACTCTTCGATCAATTTATTTTGTGACATTTTCTCCTTTAATTGCCAAAGGAAATGTGGCTCATCAAAGAGACAGAGATAAAGTATCTCCCAATGGGGTGTCATCACACCACAACCGTTCTCTTCTATTTCTCCATCCTGTTGGGATCTTAAACACAGATCATATGCGCTAGACATATTTTTTTTTTTTTGAGCAGTTAGGGAGGATTCCAACCACAGTGGATCTGTGGAACCTGGCTCCCTTAAACACTCAGCTAATGGCCAGCTCCAACTTTTTCTTTTCTTAATTCATCTATGTTCTCTTTTTACCAGCATATCTGTAACAGGGATTTAACTTGTTCATGAGAAATACCTTCTCTACTCCTAGCCCAAGGCCACTGGCTTATTTTCTCTTCTTCCTAGACCAAGTCAATAAAGACTATTAACCATCAATCAGTTAGAACCAAACAATTATCTCCTCTGTTTCAAGGCATGACAAGTTAGAGTGCTAAAGCTCAAGACCTCAATAAGGTTGAAGAGTTGAAGACAGAATTAGAGCAGGGCGAGATAAAATCTACCCTGTCCTTTTCTAAGTATCAGTTTTCTAAAAGGTACCTTTGATGCAAATTTCATCAAAGACAAGCAGACAAAAAATAGTTATTGTTACTTATCGCCCCTTCAAATCTCAGCTTCGATGTCATTTCTTGAAGGAGACTTTCCTGGATACTGCCTTTCTGGGGTTATAGTTATCTGTAAGATCTCACTGGCAGCACTTTTCCCACACCGAATTAAGTGTTTGTATTTGTCTCTCTCCTAACTACACTGTTGACTCCTTGAATGTAGGGGCTAACATTATTCCTTGCTCTCTAGTAAAGTGGGTCCTCTATAAATATTTGTTGAATACATAAAAGAATAAATGACCATTAGTTAGTCACAAATAACTCCAGTATTTTCTAAGTAACATTTTATTTCATATGGCTTTTTTTCCAGGTACAAAAAGAAGAAGATGATTTGAAAACAGCTTTCTTCAAGGATTTGACTTCTCTTGAAAAGGATGAAAATCAACGAGCGTCATCTTCAAGTGGAGATACGAACTCTTTGTGGATACCAATTTTATTTTTTTCCAGTGATAGTAAAAGTGTCACCCATAATTCTGCCTTCAAACAAGCCATTAAAGCCTCCCACAAAAAGGTAATAATAGTGGTTTTTGATCTTTCTATTCTTCCTTGAAAATAAACACCAATTTTAGCAATCATGCAACAAGAAAGGGTAAGTTTTGATATCCAGTCAGTACAATTTCCAACAGAGATTTAAATAGATTTTTTTGCTACAACCTGCTTTAAAAATTACACTGGTGATAGATATAAAATGATACCATCTTTTTGCATTTATTTGTCTGTGCTTTTGTTTATGTTCTTTGTTTACTTGTTTTAATTTTCCAGAGGATGTGTGCACTCTCTGGAAAGAGACAGAGAGAGAGAGAATAGGAAAGCAAAAAAGCACTCCCCATGGGACATCATCATGCCACAATCTCTTCTCCACTTTCTCTCCTTTAAGGATTTCAATCATGCACCGTACATGCACCTAGTGTATTTCTCAAGCCACCTAGTCCAGGATTCTTAAGTGCAATGTTAGCCATATGGAATCTAGCCACTTTAACCACCAAGTCATGAATTAGTCCATAGTTATAGTCTCTTCACTTTCACTTTTCTTCGTCGTATTGTAGGTATGTCTCATATAAACCACCCATAACAGGAATTTGTCTTTTTAAAGAAATCTGACAGTCTCAGGCATTTTCTAAGAAAGTTGGTCCATTTACATTTAATATACTTACTGCATACTTGATAGTGTTCTTTCCATCTTTTACTTTTCTTACTCATTTCATTTTGTTGCCTTTTTATGTATCCTTACTTTGTTTTGGTCACATCTATTCTCTTTTGCCTTTTTTGTCTTTTTAGAAGTTCTACTGTACTTTTAAATTCTGCTTATAGATACTTTTCTTCAGTTAAAAAAGCATAATCAAATTTATATTTTTCTTTCAACACATAATTTCAAAGCCCCTAAAAGATATTTGACCTAGTCTCCATGGGCTATCTCCATTGTCTCTGTGAGAAAACATTTGCTTCCTTGCCCAACCATCCCAGGCTTCCAACACCACAGTTTTAGTGAAATAGTTAAAAACCTTTGTGTTCCAAGCTATATCTAAGGGTTGTTTTGTATTTGTACATATATTTTTTAAGTACATAAGAGCATATCAAACAAGATATTTTATCAACTTGCAGATTAATAAATTGTGCTTTATATATTTTTAATTCAGCAATGATTTATAAAATACGTTTCATGGATCTAGCACCACACTAAAGTCCAAGATGCTAAGTAACTTTCATTGATCTTATGGTGAATAAATGCCAGAATGAATATTGAAATCAGTTGGTCTGATTTTTGTCTGCTATCCTTATCTGATACATTATACTTCAAGCAATGTAATTAGTCATTCACTTATTTACTTATTCATAATTTTAACAAACTGTGGACAGAATTCAGCTCTAGTGATATAGACATGTAACAAAATGAAAATAAAATAGTTCTTTTAAAACATGTATTGTTACTTCAGTTTTGGATGGGCTCTTAGTCAAACAATATCTTTCAAACTTACCAAATTATCTTCATAAAGAAATTATTATCAGAATGACAAAAAGCAAAAATATACACTCCCAAGTCCTTCCCTTAATCTACTAACTCAGAATATCTGAGGTTGTGCGTGTGAATCAGATTTTTCTGTTTTAAACTCCCCAGATCATTCTGATAAAGCATTTGGGATTAGAAATACTGCCTAAGATGATACTCAAAGATGTGAGAGAGTGGAGATCTTTAAATGAGATGTAAATATAGGTATCCATCCTGATATTATGACTTGATTCACAGAATTAGTTCAAAGATGTTTCAAACATTCTAGAGAACATTTGCAAAACCTTTATTTGTAGGTAAACAGCTAATGTTTGATCCTCTAATAGTCTCCCCCAAAGTGGAAATGTTTAGACTACTTACAGCATCAGAGCAAGCATATGAATCTGCTATTATTTAAGCATTTTTGACTTACAAAATTGTCAGTATCACATGATTCATCACACTATCACAACTCTTGTCTTCAATTAGATCTGAACAGAAAAACAAATTTTAGTATAGAAAATCCTGGGTAGCCATAGAACTGGACCTAGTGTTCATGTCCTGAGGACCCCCATGCACACTGGCCACCCACACGTATGTGTACCTGTAATCCAAGCTGACTAAGGCTGTGGGTGAATGGTGGCATGAAGACTCTTTGGGAGACACCTCTTTTTCTTTATGTCTGTCACTCTCAAGGAAAAATAAATATATAAACTTTTAAAAAGAAATAAAATGCTGTTATAACCTCTCCTAGTCTTCAAATATGAAAACAAGCTATTGCAAACTTGAAAATCAACTCAAGCCCTCTCATAGAGCTTCATGCTTTATCTATTTTATCAATCACAGATTTGATAAAATGTTTATTGGTAAGATAGCCTGTTTCAAAGTAAAATCTTAGTTAACGCAGTAATTTTATAATTTAGTTTATAAAATTGAAATGGTAAAAATTTGACTAAGATAAAACAATGACTTAAAAATAGCCGAAGTAGATTGCTTATGGTTTGGTAACCATATACAGCCATGTACAATGTACTTTAGCATTTTTTATTTTAGTTTAAAGTAGTCAGTTTCAGTCACATTGCATTAGTGAGTGGAGGTGCTTATGCTAAATTGCACTACCAGAGTTTAACTTATATTTTCCATTATTTCGATTTTAAAGCAATCTGGAAATTTTGAACCTTCCAGAACAAGCATTTCATGCTTTGAGAGAGTGAGTCCACCACCTACTGAAAACACAAGTCCCTCCAACTTTTGACAGTGATACTGCTATGACAAAATTTGAGTATTAAACTTAGAAATAGAATTAATGGGTATTTAGTAAAATGAAAGTTTCACAAAGGCATGGACTGTCTGCCTTGTTTACTTCTGTATCCACAGCATCTGCGATAGCTGAGCAATCCATGCTTTGAAAGCAAAAAGATAGGAGGAGGGAGTGAAGAAGAAGGGGAGAAAATAAGAGAAAGGAAGTGAATGATGACTCTTTTATTGATTCTTGTAATTACAGGCATTACTTTTTCTTTTGTGTTAGTATTCATTTTGTGCCATATTATAGCATACAGGAAGATAACTGTTTAATAATTATCAGTTACAATAAAGTTCTTTTGCTGAAATACGGTTCTCTCTGTGGGTTACTATTACTCACACAATGCAGTTTGTTAAAAGTGAGAAATCAGATAAAGCCTATATAATTTTTAAAAAGACAATATTCGTGGGTACACTCAGAAACCCCAGTGCTTATGTGGAAGGTCAATCTGAGGAATGAGGTTTTGAGCATGACACCAATCACTTAATCCTAAATTAACCTGACATGACAAGAAATGATAAAACAAACAAGTTTGCAAACAAATGAACAAAAACTCATATATTTCTGGGTATTGGTAGAGGAGAGAGAGTAAGAATCATTTTAATTCACTCCCTAAAAGTAATTTAGAATCATAGCATTTTGGAGTGTAAAAGGGAATGTGAAATGTCACTTGCCTTGCAATTCTCATCATTTGACAACTGAAATCTGAATCTAAATACTATTTTCCAGCCAGTGACAAAGCTGCTACTTGAATCTCAGTTGCATAACTTCCATCTTAAAATGTACACAATCCTTTTTCAATCATTTGAATTAACTAGACATTCTAAGTAAAAGCTCGGTATGGATTCATTCATGACTGACAATCAAGAGAGAAAGACTGATTTTTCTAATAAAATTGACATCTTTTTGGTGTAGAACTTATGCCTCAGTAACAGAGTATAGATTATTGAAATCTTGCATTTTAGCACTTAGAAAAAAGCGCTAGAAATAAAATGAAAATCCAATTTAGTGTGAAAACATCCAGTAGAAAGTTAAAATTGCCATTATATGGTAAGAATGAAGCTAATGATAAATAGGGGACATTTAAATGCTTAATACTTCAAGCTTTTATTATCTTTAATCATCTGCTTTCCTATTCTTTTCTCTTCTTCCATTTAGGATTCAAATTTTATTAGAGTCCATAAAGTGATCAGAGTCTTAAACTTCACAATGAAAGCTAAAGATCTGCAGCTCTCTGATGTCTTTTTGAAAGCACTCAACCATCTGCCACTAGAATACAACTCTGCTTTGTATAGCCAAATTTTCGATAACTTTGGGACACACTACTTCACCTCTGGCTCCCTGGGAGGTGTGTACGACCTCCTCTATCAATATAGCAGTGAAGAACTAAAGAACTCAGGTATGTTTTCTTTCACTCTCACTATTTTTCAACCTGGGATGATAGCATGCAATACATTTTTTCTCTTTGTCATTTTAATTACTCTTCTTTGACTCTACTTAAATCCTTATTTCTAAAAAAAGTGAAGAACAAACAAAACTATACACATTCAAATAAAAACGGAAAATTTAGACTAAAAAAGGAGGAAAAGTAAGTATGTCTAATTTAAAAAAGGAATGTCTGAATTTTCTGACATCTGGGAATACCATAAGCTACAGAGAAGTGGTACCCTAAAAGCAGAGATGCATACTAATATTTAAAGGAAAACTAAGTTTGTCCTGGAGCTAAATCTAAAAGATAATTTACTTATAGTATTTTATAGAAGATTATTTTACAGAGCAATAACTTATAGCCAATTAAATATAATCCTTTCTTTTAATTATTATTATTATTTTTTTGCTATAGGGCACATGCACTCTCCAGAAAGACAGAAACAGAGAGACAGAAAGCGAGAAATCACCCCCTAGAGAGAATGGCCACACTGCAATTCCTTCTCCTTCATTCTCCTCTTGGGATCTTGGGCACACACATGCCTAGTGTGAGTTTAAGCCACTGGGTCCTGGATTTGTACTGCAGTCGACTACATAGGAGTCCAGCGACATAGCCACTACACCAACTGCTGGTCCCTCTTTTAATGATTTTTAACTAAAAGATAAGGGCTATGATGAAAGAATAATTAGGGACTTGTTAATAGACTTACTTAATGTAAGCCAGATATGCACTTACTGGTGATAAAACTTGAATGCAAAGCACTCGTATTGGAAGAAGGGTTATTACTTAATATCTTGAGATATAAAGCAGATAATTTTCCACTTGCATGTAAAAAAGGCAATATAAACTGAACATGTTTGTTTCTTAAATATTATCTTACATTCCAGTAGTATTAATACGGTTTAAGCATTTTTGGATATATTTGTTTTTAGGATCCTATGTAAAGTGGTTAGGGTTGTTATGATGATCTGTCATATGTGCCTTTCTGAGTGTGTGTATATATGCAGTTTTTCCAGAAAAATGTTATACTTCTAATTGTCATACAATAATTAGACACATTAATGGGGTAATTCTTTTAATATATACATAAAATATATAATGGTCAAATTAGAATAATAAATATATTTATTATTACAAACATCATTACTTTGTGCCATGAACATTCAAAGTCCTTTCTTCTGGCTATTTTGAAATGTACAATAAATTGTTAATAATGGTAGTTACTTTACTGTGCTTTAGTACTTTAGAATTAATTCTTATAGTCTACCTGTAATTTTGTATCTTTTTAAAAAAATCATTTCATTTTGTGACCAGCAGTTAGCATAATGGCTATGTCGCTGGACTCCCACGTAGTCAACCGCAGTTCAAGTCCCAGACCCGGCAGCTTAAACTCACGCCAGGCACATGTGTGTGTGTGCCCAAGATCCCAGGAGGAGAATGGAGGAGAAGGGATTGCAGCATGGCCATCCTCCCTGGGGGGTGATTTCTCCCTTTCTATCTCTCTGTCTCTCTGTCTTTCTAGCGAGTGCATGCGCCCTATAGCAAAACCTCTCAAAAAAATGATTTCATTTCATTTTATTCATCATTATAATTTTTTGAAAAAAATTTGACCAGAGAAAGACAGAGACAGAGAGAAGGAAAGGGAGAAAGCAAACCACAAGGTCCAGGACTCAAACCACAGTCGACCATGGGGGAGTCCAGCACTGTAATCACCACACCACCTGCCTATCCCAATTTTATAATTATTAACTAAATTCTCCCTATTCTCTCTTCCTGCTACTCATCTCACCTTCTAATATTCATCCTTGCACTCTTCATTTCTATCAAAATTTTTAACTTACACAAATGATTTGTACTTATCTTTGAGTGCCTGTCTTATCTCATTTAGCATAATTTCTTCCAGGAGCATGCATGTGCCTCAAATGACAAGATTTCATCTTTGTTACAGCTGAATAATAGTCCATTGTGTATATATACCACATTTTATTTATCCATTCATCTGTTGGTGAATTTCACATTGATTCCATATCTTGGTAATTATAAATAGTACTGCAGTAAACACAGGCAAATAGAAATCTCTTCAACATACTGATTTTCTTTTCTTTGGATATTTAACCACTAATGGGATTACTAAATCATAAGGTATTTCTGTTTATACTTTGAAGAACCTCTACTCCATGCCATCTTCCATAATGGTTATACTAACTTATATTCCCACCAAAATTATACAAGTTCCCCTTATCTCCTTGCTCTTACCAATATTTGTCATTTTTTTTTTGTTTTTGTTTGTTTGTTTTTTAATGATAATAGCCATTCTAAGTAGGGTGAGGTAAGGCCATACTTCATTGTGTCTTTGATTTGCATTTCTTTCATGATCAGAAATGTTGACTACGTTTTTTCTTTTTTTTTAGTTTGCTATAGGACATGTGCACTCACTAGAGAGAGACAGAAATAGAGAAGGAAAGTGAGAAAACACCCCTTCTCCTCCAGTCTCCTTTGGATTTTGGGCACACACACACCAGCATTCAGCATGATTTTCAAGCTGCCGCAAAGTCAGTCAGGTGGGATCCAGCACCCTAACCTCCATGCTACCTACTGGTTCTCATGTACTTATAAACCATTTGTATGTCTTCTTTTAAAAACTATCTATTCAGAACAATTATACATTAATCAGATTTATTGTACTTATCGTTGAGTTGTTTGAGTTCCTTACACAAAGGATCTTCAAAAAGTTCATAGAAAATGGGACCAGCAGTTAACATAACATGGCTATGTCGCTGAACTCCCATGTAGTTGACTGCCAGGTGTGTGTTCATGTGTGCCCAAGATCCCGAGAGGAGAATGGAGGAGAAGGGATTGCGGCATGGCCATCCCCTCTAGGGGGTGATTTCTTGCTTTCTATTTCTCTGTCTCTCTCTCTTTTTCTGACGAGCACATGAGCCCTATAGCAAAAACTTCTTTAAAAAAAGTTAATAGAAAATACATATCATAAAAATCTATGGATTTTTTAAAAATTGCACCAAAATTAGCTAGTACTTTAATTTCATTTTTCCATGAATATATTAAATAACTTTATATGATCTAGTTAACAAAACCTTGTTGAATAAATAGCTTACAAATAGTTTCTCAGAAGAAGTTTCCACATGGCTACAGCAAACTAGATTTTTCAGGGAATGAAGATTTTCTACTGATAATTCATCCTCCAGCAAATGAGCTAGCACAGAAGAAGCCGGGCCTTCAGAAGAAGGTTCCACATGGCTCCAGCGAACTAGATTTTTCAGGGAATGAAGATTTTCTACTGAAAATTCAGCCTCCAGCAAACAAGCTAGCAGTAGGAGCGCCCCCCCCTCCGCACTCCCAGCCTTCTATTTCTGTTTCTGTGTCTCGGTTCCTGTCTCTCCCTGCTCTGTCTTCCCTTTTTTTGTAATTTTTCCTTTTTACACTTTTTTTAAAACGCACAGTTTTTCTCTGGCTCTCAACTCCACCTTTTATCTTGTTAATTATCACTCTGGACCTCCCACCCAGGCAGAAGAAGCCGGGCCTTCAGAAGAAGGTTCCACATGGCTCCAGTGAACTACATTTTTAGCACGGTGTGCTTGAGTGCCACGTGGTTTTCTATTTTGTGATTTTCTTAAATAAAAGAACAGTAATTACAATTTTTTAATTTTTTGTCTTTTTTTCTCTTTTTGTTGTTTCTCTCTCTCTTTTTCATTTTTCTTTTTCTTGTCTCTCCACCCTCCAATATCTATTCAATGTGTTTTTAGACTGATCTAAGAGCACTGTAGCTAAACATCCAAATACTAATAGGGTTAAAATATTCCCCAATATCTACTGAATCTGGTGCACCAATGATCACAACAGAATGGCAAAGAGATTCTAGATCACCTCTGTTTGTTTGCTCCTGAACATTCAGGCTGATCTTCAAGAATTCGAAAGAAACACACCATCCATCAGATGACAAGAAATCATCGCCAGATCACGAGAAATATGGGAAAACGAGAAAATATCTCTCCTCCAAGGGAGAAGAGTAAGTCTTCTTCATCCACAAGCAGTTCGGTGAAAATCATGGAAATGTCTGATAAGGAATTTAGAGCATTCATAATGTCGAAGCTAAGAGAGATGGAAGAGAAGAGAGATAATGAACTGCTAAAGAG